TCGGTTTTGCTATTAAGAGTGGAATAAATACTTCTTATATTTCATTTTCGAAAAATGTAAATTTTTGTTATTTAAGCAAGCGTTTCAATCGTGCCTCTCTTGACAGTAATAGATTCGTTGTAGAAAAATTCAGAATGAAAAATATCCTAAACACAAAATGCACCGACACCATATGTACAAATCATAGAACGGGAAACGTGTCAACACGCACTCACGCGACTAATCCCATCGTAAACTTCTCCAACCCAAACTTCCAAAACTCAAAATCCCTTCGCTCAAACATTTTCACCACGCCTCGAAACAGCTATTACAATCATGAATTTTGAGTAACATTGCTCTGTTGGCGCTTCTACGCGAGCTATTCTCTATTAAGCTTTATTTAAGAAACCCACAATTTTATATTACTTCTTAATACTCTGATAAGTAAAATCTAATTGTCAAATTTAATTAATAATAATAATAAATTTATTATCGTATTAATTCGGGAATTATTCGTGCAAAAAGAAAAAAGAGAGAGAAAAGATTTAGATAGTGTTTCGATGTCAGAAACAATATGTAATGAAAAATATTTCAATTTAAAAATTACAAAGTTACTCTTTGCAAGCTTTCTCAAGGTCAAATAAATAATAGCACAACTCTATAATTTTTATTCAAAACATATTTTCTCGAGATATCTGCCCGGACAGATTAAAATAGGACACCCTGTACATATTCTATAAAGTTTAAATATAAACCAATGTTGATCTAAATTTACTCACGCGTACCAAGGGATTCCTTACACGTAAGATTAAGATAAAATTAGAACAATCCTCAAATATATTGCACGTAAATCTAATATAAATTTAATTACCAATTAATCTAACTTGGAAGATATATCTGTTTCTTGTCACAATTCAATGGAATTATCGAGCAAAGTCTGGAAAAGAACGAAAAAACTAGTACTAGACACGTAGCTATTGGAACAACGAGTTGAACAATGTTCGCTTATATCTCTAAGAATTGCAATACAGTATTAAATTCATACTTTCACTTTTTGACGCGAATTAACAAAAATTATTGATAATATTACATTTTGATAGATTCATCTATTGTTTCTATAAACACATCTAAAATGTATAACGGATGAACTACCGGTATATTATTTTTTTTTTAATTTCACGTTATAAGAAAATATAACATAAAAGAAACAACGATAAATATATTGGGTATGAGGACTAATGTAACTACGATTATTGTACTTCATCATTGTAGTTTCGGTCAGTAATTTCATTCAAAGATTCTTTTGTATTTTATTTTCGCAAATATAATCAAACTCGCTATAGATCGAGATTGAAATATTTCAAGTCCAACAAAATCCATTAGAAAATAGCTTTTTGACTAGTGCACTTGTTATACGCTTTCAATGTCGGTTATGTATTTATTGGAAATTACGCACACGTAATCGCAGACATATACGTATATATAGGCGAAATTTTATGTAATAGTGGCAATCTTTTTTTTTTTTTTTTGAAATACTTCGAAAATTATAAGAGACCAAGTTATAAAAATTTAGTAAAATTAGTTCGAATGATGTGTTTAAAAATATATATCAGGGATAAATATAATCGGAATTATCTCTAATTATCATAAATATTAGGTATATGAAATGCTCAAACTTTTTTAATGGCATATAATAGCAATCAATTTTGAAAATATTTCGAAAACTAAAGTCAATTGATATTAATATATACATAAAAAAAAAAAAAAAAAGAAAACGTTCAAAATCTCGTTCTATTTTAATCCATTCTAATCCATATTTAAAAATCATCATCGAAATCAGAGAGCATCCTATCCATCGATAATATCATCTCAGATATTTCTTCATCGTGTAACGTTTAATCCGCTCGTTCATCATCAGATGTGCAACTATATAACCAATACGTTATCAAATTAATCTGTGAACGAAATAAACACTAATAACTTTTAATAATAACAATGATTTCCTAACATTAAAATTATATCTTTTCTTTATAAAAATTTCTTCTTACTTAAAATCCAGTATTGGCAATGGAGAAAATGGATTAAAAGGATCGGAAAATTAACGAACAAAATAAACAGAGGAGGAAAGAGAACACCCCGATGCGAAAGATACAAGATAGCAAGAAAAGGAAAGTAAATAAATGCGCACAACGTCGAAAAATAAAAAAATAAAAAAAATTGCAAAAAAGGAGAGATGGAAAAAAGAAGAGGAGGAGGAGAAGGGGAAGGGAACCACCAAGCAGCGAGACAACCACGAGTGTGCGGTGTAGATGTTGACACACGGTCCGTCGTTGAACGAGAGGTATACTATGTATACATATATGTGTGCGAGAGGAACGAGAGCTGATACATCCCAGAAGCAGCTTGTTTAAAGGAGGAATAGGCGAGATAAATAAGGGAGAGGAGGAGTGGTGGCGGTGCAAGTGGAACGAGCGGATGGAGCGACAAAGAAGGGACAGAGGGACTGTAAAGTCGATAGAGTACAAAACATCGGTAGTGGTAGGGAGAAGAGACGTGGAATGAAGACACGCGGATGAGAGGGAGGGAGAACAGTACTATGAGAGAAAAAAGGTGGAAACGAAAGAGCAGAAGAGAAGAGAAGAGAAGAGAAGAGAAGAGAAGAGAAGGAAGGGGGAAAAAAGGAATATGATATGGAGAGGCGATGGAAAAATTGCGTGTACCAAGGATAGAGCGCGATAGCAGGCGTGTATTCTGTTGCAGAGAAGGTGACAGAGATAATGGGCATGAGGAAGAGGAGAACGAGAGTAAAAATGAGTGAAAGACAGTGGAAAAGCCTGCGAATTGTAAAGACAGGCGCGGTGGTATACAAAGAGCTAGCTGCCAGAGAGAGCTGACACTCTTAAGAAGGATGGACGGGAAAGACAATGCGACGCATGTGGGAGAAAGATGGACGAACGTACGTATGGGCGAGAGAGAAGAAGAGAGGGGGAAAAACTGGAGGAAGTTCAAGAGATAGATGAAAAATAGAAGGAGGGGGAGGGAAGAGAGAGAGAGAGAGAGAGAGAGAGAGTAGAGTAG